AATGTGAAGATAGAAAAATGACTTGGTCATCAATGACGGTTCGACTCTACCACTCCGCAGAGAGTTGGAGAGATTAGCGAGAGCGGTTTATTATCTAAGCAAAACTTGCATTAATTTGTTCGGGGCGTTGGCATCAAATTGGCAACCGATCTCAAGAGGTTCCAATAGTGCAAGTTTTGAAGTGGAGTTGATGATTGTCAGAGTCAAAGTTTTAGGAACCGGTACTCTTCAATTATAGCACTCATATAATACTTACAAGTTTTTTTTTCAGTACTGCAACGACATGCTCAGAGCTAACGTCTTATATGAAGTGGAACTTCGTGCGTATATGATAACAAATGTGGCAATGGGAAGTGCGTTGTTTTCGATCGACGGTACTGAGGTAGAAAGCCGGACAATGAAGACAAGAGTGGTGGGAAATTGATATCAGATGTTCCTTTACTTACTAGAATACTTGAATACCACGTCTTCACTTGTTATACGTGCTCCAGCATTATTTCTCAATTTTCTCACTCTTACGTATTTGCGCCACGGTGTTGTGCTGTTCCAAACATGGTGACGGACATAAGGCCCATTCCGTAATCCAAATACGCTGTCATCTGCCAATTCCAAGGGTGCACGTTATCCACGAACACGTCCGTCTGTTACTTCTGTGGTCGTCGGAAGGAAGTTTGCAATCTCTTAGGACTCGCTCTACAGTTCTTTCGTCCATCTGTCATATAAATAATATGAGTAATCCATATGTTTCGTTATCGCTATATATTTTCCTGGATTCTTCAGATGGGATAACTTCAAAATCTAAGCTGCGCGAACCGGCTGTACCTTGCCAGTGCCGAATATATAGTTGTCCCATGATTTCTTCCGCACTATTGTTCTATTAGTGTTTTTCTACTTCAAATCGGGTTATTGTCAAAAGAACGTGGTAAGCCGAAAGAATGTTCTAGTGGCTTCAGGCAGGGTGGTTTAAAGAGCACGTGCGCTGCGGAATAAATTAACTGTGAATCAAAATGTATCAGCAATTGCTGCACTCGATTGTGCTTTACGAATGTGAAATGGAGACCACCAGGCACTCCTATTGCTCGGCTTGTGAGCCACTGGTGCAAGCGCTTTGGCAAAAGCACTACGTGCTGTCAATGTCAGCGTCACTCTGGCCTGTCAGTCACCTTTGACGAAGACGCTTTGCGCCACGAGCTAGAAGTGCATCCAAATGCCAGCAGCAGAAATCTTGAGCGAAAACTCGGATACTGCCGTAGCACCATCGTTTGGTATTTAATTGAATAGGCATTCGCAAAATGATGTCTGAATAGGCACCTCACAAATTGGCTGACCACGGCTACGCTTCACGCGTAATCATCTGCGAAAGTCTCTTGCTGAAACCGCATAGGCACAATTTTTTTAAGTCGGTCATATTTAGATGAGTCAATGTTCTACTACGAGAGCAACACGCGTTGCGCCTAATGGCTGCCTTGAAGCGAAATCCGCCAGCTTAACCAAAGCTCGTGTTTCATGCTCAAAAAATGATGCTCTCTCTATTCTGGGATTGGCAGGGCATAATGTTTGAAAACTGATCGACAACAAGCAGGCATTTAGTGCCGAAATCTACGGAGCAAAAACTCTGAACATTGGCCGTAGCAGTGCGAAAGAAGCATCTGAAATGAGTCAGTGTAGCTCTTTTCCAGGATAGCACTCGAGTTCACATTACAAAGTCGACTCGCCACATTTCAAAGAAAATGGTCTGGACTGCGGTGCTTATTCACAAGGTATCCCTTATATTGCTCCATCGGCTTACCAACGTTTTGCGCCTAAAGACCATAAGGAGCTTAAGAATGATCTCATCGAGTTCATTGGTCGCCAGCCTCATTCCTTCTGGGTGGAAGACGCAATCTTTGCCCAGCAAATGGTTGAATGTCATTGACCATAAGGATTATTACACTTTTGAATATTGATTTCCTTGAAGATATAACAAATATAAAGCATGCATGGAACGCATGGATGGAACGTGCCCAGTATGAATGAAGCACGGGTTCGACATCCGTTTGAGATAGTATTTTTGCTCGCCACTCAGTTCAAAAAGCAGTAAAAGTACTAGAATTTTCGAGTATTATATCTAACAGTGGCTGTCAGCTCAACTGCATTCAAAGCGAAATCGCACACCCGATCAAACCTGTTAATGGTTGGTGACTGACAGCTAACATAGAAATGTTGAAGAATGAGTGGTGGCGAAAATGTGCCTCGGTCGTAGCGCACGCTTCCGGTATGGATGAAACGCGGGTTCGTCTCCCGCCTTAAGTCGTATTTTTGCTCATCATCCAATTAACGTAGGTATGTACGAAACACCATGACACTGCGAAAAAGCAGTATAAATACTAGAATTTTCGAGAAGATATATGACAATTATAAGAAGCGTCGAAATGAGAATGAGATAACGGAACAGCCCAGTAGATTTTAGATGTCTTCGTTTAAATGCTCTGTGGGTGGATGAGCAGATTTCCTGACGTGCTTAGTAATCAGATCACGTCTTTGCTGCGTAACAGAGCACTTGGAGGTAGGATGTTAAGACATCGGAAAGTTTTTCTCTGCAGTCTTTTGACAAGGCACTAAACTGAGTCCATGGTTCAACTGGTAGGATGAGGAATTAAACTTAATTCTTCATTATCATAGCACAATGGATTAACTGTTTATGTTCTGAAGCAGCGTTGAACATAACTTTGTGCGAGCTAAATAGATAAAATTTTTCCACAAGAAAAGTAAGGATAGTAGAGGGGAAAGAAGTAAACCATTTTACCTTTACCTGTGAGCAATTGAGTATTTCAGAGCACCGTTTTTCCTGTCGCATGTATTTGAATGAATGTTCAAGAAGGTCTACTGCCATTATCCACAAGTTATCCACTGCGCTCTATGCAATACTCGTTGTGAGGCTGGCATGCTGTTGGCAATGAAGCGGCGGTCATCTACCATTGTTTGGTGATGAAATTGTTTTTTTCACTGTCGACAGCATTATACATCGTATGGATGGTGTTCTGTGCAGATGATATCTGCAATCTTTATGTACGGCATTCGTAGCTAATATCCACTGGTGTAAGAACGATATATTGCAGTTCACCGTAGAAATCTGCAATAAATTATTAGGGTATGCTTTTAGGACAGTTGACTATAGTTTTAGGTTTTTTTTCAAATTTTAGCTTTGATTGGTAATATATTCAAAGACCTATCTATGATATAGCCACTATTACAAATCTAGTATGAAACCTACTACATTTGATGTTGCTACGGTTTTATTTAGTATGGTTTAAGGGATTCAAAGTGGTTTCAAACGTTTTCTTCACTTGATTTAAATATTGAGAATGTTGCCTTATAACATAGCCAACTTATTTCAGCACTAAACTTATTATTTCTGCACTAACCACTGCTTAACACATAATGTACCAAATCGACACTGTTTCCCTCATCGATGGCTGTGGGCCATCATTATGGTGCGATGATCATCGCCCTGCAAAGCCATTTTTTTGCTCAGCTCCGTATGCTCTATTTGAGTCTTCCTATTTGGGAACCGAACAAGAGAAAAGTGTTCTAAAGAATTAGTTTGCAGGCTTTTCACTTCTCACCGGTTACGGAGTAAACCTGTATTTAGTACGACATTGAGATTGGGCGGTGCGCTAGGTGTTAACACGTGATATATTTCATCGTAATTTATTGGTTCTTGGTGTTTACATGAGATTTGAACAGCGTTATTTTTATATCAAGTACTCTTTGTGGATGCTCTCTCTTTTCCTGAGTGCCTTTCCGTCTCTCTCTATTTCTGTCTAACTCTCGCTTTCAATATATATATATATATATTTTATTTATTTATTTATTTATTTATTCATATGTTTCTTTACTGGTTTGACATACTTATTAGGTTGGATTGTTAACTGCATAAGGATAGTTTTGAATGGACGAATTCGAATGATTTTTGACGTGTATACGCAAACTTGAGCATTCAAAAGGTTTCTCTTACTGTAGTAAATAAAGATTAATTTCGTTTATCAGTTAACAAACTGGAAAGAGAACGATAGCCGATGCAAAGTGCTGCAACAAGTACTTCCTCAAATGCAGTAACTCAATAATAACAATTATCCGAGAGGGAAAAATTAATCAGCTCTTAGTAAAAAGATTTCGTTCTTTGAAATCACATCACATTTTGATGCGTTCGTCTACGAGTATTCATGATACGAGCAATTGGTGTTGTTTGAAAATGAGACAGTTGCCGTTCATCCTCGTCACCTTGCGGCAGCAACAATAAGAATCTCTTATGTGTAAAGTGTCCGGGAACACAGCATCGATTCGTAGCCATTCATAAGATTCTATACAATCATAAATTATTACTATTATTTCAATCTATTTCAATTCTTATTTATTGGGCTACAAATTTTGAGCACGAATAAATGTTATTCTGCCTTATTAATCCTTTAATTATGCAACCGTGTTCAAATATCTTCTTCCTGGAAGTTAGTCTTGTTTTATAGCATCATATCTTATGCGTCGCTCTTTGAAATTCATCTTTTTTTGGTTGCTTTAACTCATTTAGAAAGTAAATGGCAAGACTTCATTCGTTTCTTCCCCTTGCGAGTCTAATTTCCTGAGGTTTTCTCCTGTATTAATTTGGAGATGCGTTGGTCATTGATATTGGATGGACTAGTTCAGTTAATTAGAGTGTGACTAATGTAGAGTGGTGTGCAAAAGCATTTGCGTCGGTCGGGATTCAAACTAGATCTCAGTCTTTGCAGGAGCGTGTGTTGAACCATTACACCATCGACGGTCGTTTTGCACACCACCCATTCTACGCTACAACGCGTTATCTGCCAACAGCCAACTGTCTACGGTCTGGCGGGGCAGTCACTATCGACATTGAACCCACTTATGCTGACAGATATTGAGTTTCAATAATCAATCAGAATTCATTTTAGAATTCTGCGGACAGATAACGCGTCGTAGCGTAGAAAATGTGGAGTGCAAAACGAGCGTCGGTGGTGCAATGGTTGAACACACACTCCCAGAAAGATTGAGATCTGAGTTCGAATCCCAGCTCACACAAATGTTTTTGCACTCCACTCTATATTATTGCGTTTATTGCAACATCATAACAACGCAATATGCGGTCAAATAAATTTTTACTAATTGCTTATAGTGTGACTGTTGAAGAGGAGACCAGGCACACTTTTTTGTGCAATATGCTCGAAAATTTGGTTGAACACTGATCTTTTCTGGGAAGCGGAGGGAGCGGTGACTGGTGGTCAGTGGTGCTGTTTGATGTCCTCTCTCAACACTCCCTTGCAATCACGTGGTGATGTCTTAGCTCGACTATTCTCAATACCTCAAGGAAATATGACTTAAGCAGTAATCCACGACATTCATGAACAAGACGATATTTCAAAGCATCAGCGGAAACAACACACGAAATTTTCGAGGACCTTTGTGTAATGAGTGAGGGGAAACTGATCGATCATAGAAGTAATGAAATAGTTGAATAAAATGTGGTAAAGAGTCGTGTAACTCATGATAAATAGTATGAATTCATTCATTAGCGTGAAATAAAAAACTTGTTTAGGCTTTTTTTACAAGGCTTTCAGTTCTTTCAGTGATGTCCTTAGATTAATTTGTACTGTTTCGACATAAAGCAGAGATGTGTTACGACGTAGTGACTTGTCGATTGGATTTCAATATGCATTTTTGAGAAAGCATATTACATCTTACAGTAAGCTTCATCACTTTAGGTGAAACCCGATGTAATCCATACACTCATACCAAACTAGGATAATCTCTTAAGGCTGATTATAATGCTGATTTTTCGCTTTGAAAATTGCCCAAATAAAAGTCTTGGTTGGTAGGCGACAGCTCTGACGAGGATGGTAGATGGGTAGAGTTTTCTAATCCAATTCTCTCAACCTTTGTAGGAATCGGTAGTGTGAATAAGACACGTGTCCTCAAGAAAAAGGACTTTCAGCTTGAACGACGTGTACTTTCAAAATTCCGCATCTTTCCACTTTTCAACTGCTCTTAACTAGCTGCAGTGCTTGCAACAAGTCCTTTCGCATGATCTCGAACTGCTGTGCATGTGAGAAATTTCAACAAAATCGACGATTAATCGTCGCCACAGCAAAGGAAGGTTCAAAAATCCTCCATGTCGAATTCCTCGCGACAAATTTCTCCAAGACAGCGTCACTCTGTGCGTTCGTCAAGATTTCTTTTTATATTTCATAAGTGTTTCAAGACGTTTGCGCTGTTTGCGTTCATTATGAATTCATAGAAGTAGATTTGTCTAGTCTGTTATTGAAACATCCAACATTTTGACGTGTGAAATTTGTTCTAGACCCAGTTCATAGAAATTTAACTTAATTTAGCGGAAGCGCATAAAATAAGGTTTAAAACAATATGTATTATCACTTCACTGGAAAACTAATATGCAGTTTTCAATCAAATTTCCATACCGATATTATTTTTTGGGCAGCCTAATACTCATTGTACCATGTGATGAAGCTCACCAACTCATAAATGTATAACGGAATCGATCATCTAAAAAGGACATGGTAGCATTCTAATTAAACTACGCCATCGAGATTGATCTAAATGTAAATAGTATAAGAAAGATTTGACAAATATACGTATATGTATGTACATATATATGTGTAAATAAATAAATGATTAATTAGACAAGCAACCAAATGAATAAATAAGCAAATAAATAGGTAAAGAACAAATACATATATATATTTATATTTATAATTATAATTATATATGCTGCTTGGTAGAGGGTCGTTGCGCGAATCTCCGCTACGCCAGCACCAAAGTTTTATCTCTACAGCACTGAATCCATCTAAAATGCACCTCGCCACGAGCTAATTGAGAGAGATCACATTTTGACTGCTAGGCTCCTCGATTTTTTTTTAAAACTTGACGCTTCGGTTTGCAATGGTTATCGTTTGAGTCTTCTAATTCTCACACTCTGAAAAAAGGTCAAACGCTTCTCAACAAACGCCGGAGCGATTTATAGACGATTTTCCTCTTATCTTCTTTTGCTGGCATTTTGTCATCCAATTCATCAATCATTTACAATTGATGACGACACTCACAGATATGTCCAGCCGCTATCCGATGTATGGCGTGAATGACTCTGCCGTTTGGTGCAGAGACAGTTCAGTGCCTGATCCACCACGGTGCACCTCTATTCTACCACCACATCCGTCAATGCCTTATTCTACCTACCCGTCTGCAACTACGCATACCACAGTGGTTCATTCCCCAATGAAACCGATCGCCGACGCAGACATCTATAGGTGAGCTGTTGTAGTTGTAACAAAGTTTATATATATTTTTGAACAGCTGAAGACGTTCGGCGAACAGTATCATTGGATTATCGTAGTTATTACCACAATCGCCACGGTGTATCAGAAAATTGATTGAAGCTTCTTCAATTCTTCGAAGACTAATCAACCACAATTTTATGGGTTGCCCTTTGAAGTAGTATTTATTCAGTAGTTGCTTTTGACGAGAAACTACTGTCTTAGACTTATAGTTCTATTCTTCACTTTAAAAAGTTGGGAAAGTACTTAAGAGAGGCGGGGGGAGGGGACTGAGATCAGCCTTCAAAGAAGGTTTTAGAAGACCGTATTTACCGTGGCGTATGCATCGAAATCTGTACCTGCAATTGCCGAAGGATTGAAGCGATAGTGCCTTGAATTATTCAAGTCAATGATTGAGCTGTTGACTTCACCAGTTATGTAGGCGAAGCTTTATTGTTGCATAACTGCAAAAACAGAGTTTCTTAAAGTTAAGATAATGATATGGATTGAGGTGCGAGCTGATAAGCGCCAAATTATGTTACGCATATTATCTACTTTCCTGTTCAGAGTCGGAATTTATGGATGGCGGAAAAGATGTCTCTACGTATTTATTCTTATTTTGACTATAATTATCGTACTCAATCTCGCACTAACAGCATGGATCATGTCGGTTTTGGACTTCTCCACGGTAAGCACCTAAATTTGATTTATATCTCAAATGATTATTTTGAATTTGACTTGGAACAAATATCAAAGATATCAAAGATCAAAAATCAAATAACAAATATCAAAGAGGGACCAAGAAGATCTTCCATTTGGCCGCATTTTAGCAGTGGTATATCCTTCAACTACATACCAATAATTTCGAGTGATATGCAAGACTTTGAACCTCACACAGGCGTCAAACTCTCTTTATCCTGAACAGCCTTGGAACGTTTAGAAGGCCCCGATTCCTCTTTCAATATCTTGCATATGAGTCAGCTTTAACATTCAAGAAAAGCTTTTGAAAAAACCTTAGATTTTGTTCAGGACGGTCTGGGTGCATTAAAAATCCAAGAAGATGGTATACGTGTTGAAGGACGAGCTCAGTTCAATAAACCGGTCACATTTTCACATTTAAGCACGGCAAGGGTAATAATTCCTTTTCATCATTTTTTCTATTTTAACTGCATCGATAATATCGGCTCTTGTTTCCGTTCGGTACAGTTTTTTTCGCAGCTTTCACTATATTTCACCTCTTTCTGCTAATATCGCGTCTTGCTGGAAACTATTCGGTATCGTTTTTTCTCTATGTGTAAATTTTGACTGTCAAGTGTGTTCATTACGAATTCACATATCATTGAGGAATTCCGATAATTTTTCGATAATACCACAGAATGGAAAGGAAAGCATGTAATGAATAAATATATCAATGATTTTTCGGTGAAAGGACAACATGTTTTGAGCCATTCGGGAAATCTCGTATGGAGCTTATGAAGTCTAGACAGGCGCCTATTTCGCCTTTCCAGGTTCTTTAGTAGTACGATGCCTTTCATTTCAGCCGATGCTTTGCGGATTCTGTCTAGTACTTTATAAGTACCATATTAGACCTCATCAAAGGCTCAAAACATGTCGTCAAATAATCAGATCATTATTGTTTCTGAGCGAGGCCTATAAAAGCAGTGGAATCAAGAGGTACTGATTTTCCTTTCCACATTGTACAGTGTTGATTCCTGAAACGCTAAAGCAAAGCTTAACTTTCATCTGGCATATATACATGAAACAGCTTCTTAATATTGAAAAGTTTTTCGGCCTTGTCGATTTTATGAACATTGAAGGACGAAGCGCTTACGATTGACTCATTTCGTGACATTCACATGCAAGCACGAAACGCTTCTGGACAGATTTCGGCACGATTATCGTTGACGGCTGACGGAAAAACACAGGCTATTTGTAATCGATTTGAGGTAAGTGCCATTTGAAATCTATTCAATCACTTAGTCAGATAAATTTTTCTATTAAGAAATACAGTATCTGGCAGCATACGCCAATTAATTTTGTAATAAGTCAGAAGTCGGTTGATAAATCACGTACCACATAAATCTTGCTGGTCTAAGAGAATCTATACTTTTATCAGTGGGTGAAAATTGTCTCCACACGCGTGCATCTTCATTGCGCTGCAGAAGCTGATGGTAAGGTAGTGTTGCGATATTTATGGTGAATTCATACATATGCATGAGTACCAAAGAGATCACCTTTACCATCAAGAATTAACGGAGGATTCACTGATAATCACGGCTGCGCGTGATTCCTGATTACGTTCTTCCCGCAGGATGGTGCATGAGTATCATGCGTTGAGTGCATGCATACTGCATGAAGGCTAAAAGAATTGGGCTCTGGGCGTTGATCAATCCATGGAGGATGCTTCATGCATTTGTCTTCATTGTTCAACTTCGTTTGAGGTGATTGAACGCATATCTGACCTTCACAACGACTCGCGGTGGCCTCCCACTGTATCGAGTCAGTGTTACTTATTGTCCCAGAAAAGTCTGAGTCCACTCTGGTACTCATTTACCGACCTCGCTGAGATGGATGGCTTGGTCAGCCATGAGCGCAAGATCGAACCATTGACCTTGTCTGCGATGCAGGCGCCCTTGACTACTGCACCACATGCACTCTCCATACTGCATACGGAAAAAAATTAGATGTAGTCGCTGATCTGCTTTTGAGTGTCCATTCCTTGAATATGTTTAATACCCTCAGATTTAGAAAATG